TTCGGTGTTATCGAATTACTGTAATGCCGAAAATCCAATTCCGATAACACCGAATTCAAAAACTTATCGAATTCGGCTGATCAAATTTTTATCAGTTATCCCAGAATTTATGAGAACAGCTGTAATACCTGCATCCGGATTTAATGATTAAATCCAGATTTGATGGCTGAATCCAGATTAATGATTAAATCCGGTGTTGCGATCGGGGAGAGCTTCAGTTTAACCGATTTAACTTTGATCGTGAACAAAATGGTTAAATAAAACAATTATTAAGCGACACTTTTTTTATGTTAGAACAAAAGTTTTCTTTATTGACGTTTTTCTTTAATATATTCGTTACAGGGGAAGTATATTTACAACATATTTGCTTACAAACAGATACAAATAATTACTAATGCTGTTTTTCTTTCAGAGCGAAACTCAACCCCTTTTTATATATAAAATTTATGTTAAAGCTTTAAGCCCTTGATAGGGCGTCACCCTCTTACTAAGAGCTATGAACCCTTATTAGGAGCTTCGAACTAGGGATGTTAAGTGGTCCACGAAGAACCGGTTTGGACTGGGTCTTGACCAGACTTTTTAGGGACTAGTAGGAACTAGTTCAGTATTGGTCCAAACCAGTCCAGCTCTCACATGATATGAATATAGTGTCATTTTTGACACATTAAATAAAATTCGATAAAACATGAATCAATAACGATACACTCTAAGTGGTGGTACTTTAAATAAAATTCACTGATTGGGTGTCAATGATAGGTACTCCCGATAGTTAAAATTAGTTAAGTGTTGATTACACCTTCCGCTTTTCGATCAATAATGGATTTGTAATTATGGCTAATGTTACAGTATTAGTAAGCACCAATGGGTTTTATTACATTATTTTCACTCGGATTTAACCTGAATCATGTATATATTTTTAATATATCAATAATGCAATTAATTAATAAATCAATTTCCATGATTTAAGTAATGCAAAAAATATATTATATAGAAAGTTATAGGAATAAAAAGAGAATTACCTTTGAAAAATAAACTTTTTTTAACCTTCTAAAACTCCATATTTATTAATGTGTTTATCTGTGTTGTTACAATCATTCTTAAGTATAGTAATACTACTTTTGATATCCAGTCATCTATAACTATTATTTGTGATAGTGACAGGCCTGCCTTCATTACAGCTGTTATGCCACCTATATGCAAGCTATGGCTTGAATATCTTCTTCTTAAACCTGCATAACATGTTACATATTTGATGATTACACTGACAGCTTCTACAGTTAGTTTTTTATTTTTATTTGACAGAAATACTGTTTTACCTGAATTTTCTTTAATCTGTAAATATTTTTTTTACAGTCTGACAGGGTAGAATTTAGAGTTAGTTGATTCAATTGGAATAAATTTTCTGTCCCCTGTTGATCAGTCTTTAATCTGTTTATATAAATCTATAAAAGACCATTTTTTTCTTTGAAGTTACTTAAAGAAAGGGTTGTTAACTTCTTTGCTCTATGCATTGTGTATAGGCCAATTGCCACTAATATACAGTCATGTGTTCATATTTTGTAATTTGCATCTTTTGGCAAATTATCCATATAAGTTTTCAATGCTTTAACAGTTAGTAAGCCCTGTGGTCATGTGGCTTCTCTATCTTTTACTGTTAGACTTAACAGTAACTTAGCTAGTCTTCTTACTTTGTAATTTTTTGTTAGGTTTAGTAAGTCTTGTGCACTATGTTGATTCATTATTACTGTTAGGAAAAGCATAAACTTCAGTATTCTTCTCTGTATATCTGATCAAATTAAATATGCTAGCATACTGTCTTGTAAGACTAATAAAGTTACTAGTCTATATATCTTACAAAAGTCAACAAAATTACTTCAAACAGCTATTAACTTATAATTGTATGCTGATTTTGGTTACAAATTGTTGTGTGCTTCTGACAGCAAGTTACTTAAAACAGCATTTGTACTGTTATAAATTTCCAATTTCAGTTGTTCAATGATTCTGCTGATCTACTTATATTTGAAAAAAAGTTACTTCTAGATTTGACAACAACAATTCCTGATACAAATGTTGTAATATAATTGGTCATCAGAGAGTTAAAAACCAAACTGGTATGATTATTATCATAGTTGTTTTGCTCTTCATCATATGATAGAACACCTGATTCAATTGATCTAAGGGAGCATACATGTAGTTTATTTTTTCTTTTCAGTTTTGTGTAAAACAGTTATTGACTTCTGTGGTTAAACATTACCAACATAAGTTAAATTTTGAAAAGTGGGTTGTAATTTTGTTTGCCATCTGATCTATTTTATATGAATCCTATACATGATCTAATAGTTTAAAAATGTTTTTTCTTAAACTTTAGTCAAACTCATTATAATGTCTTGTAAATTTGTTTGCTGGGTTTTTTGTATCTGGTACTCATCAAAATTTGTATATCCAAATGTTTGTTTTGTTACAGAAATTTTAGATTTTTTTTATATATTCCTTTTGCAAAGATATTTTCTCTTCTAATTTCATTATTTTCTTTGCAACTTTGTTGTCTATAAAAACTATTATTTAGTAATGTGTTAGCACTTTGACAAAAGATCAAAGATCTAATAATGTTGTCTTAGACTTTAATTTTACTATTTTCATATATTTATATTTTTTTTTTCAGTTTTTAAATGCTTTCTATACAAATAGTATTGCTAACCAGCCAGTTATTGAAATGTCTATGAACAATAAAAGTATACATGAAGGTTTTCACATTAGGTAATTATTTTTTTTCTTCAAATTTTGAATTAACCAATTTGCATCTTTCTTTGCTTTTATTAACAACTTTATTGTTCAATTCCATTCTCATAGTTTGCAATACATTGCATCGATTAAGCTGTAAACCTCTAAACATTACAAGTTTGCCAGTATGAAGGCTCTGCTCAAGCTCATTAACATATCTATTACTAATGTCAAAGATTTTGTTATAACTTTTTGTTATATTGCAAGATGTTTTAAGATCAATTTTGTTGTTTTTATTTTTTCATCTAGAATTATTATTAATGCCTTCACTGTGTTCAGTATTAAATTATAAAATTTGAGTTTCTGTATGAATTTTCAATTTTCTTTTTTTGCTAATATTAGACTACTAGCCTTAAGTCTAAAGCAATTATATGATTTTATTGATATCTCAAAATATCAACTTCTGAATTGGCAACCCAGATGTCATCTACATGATTCTTACAATAAATGCCTATAGAATGCTAATATCCAATTAGTGCTTGTATTATCTTCAAAAAGACCCATACTATCTGGCTTAACCTATATAGTAAAACATAATAATAGTACCAGTTATTCTAAAATCTGAAACCCAGTAGTTTTTGTGTATTTTTTGCTATTAAAAGATGGTGGTAGTCATCTTTAAATCTATTATTATAACTTATTAGTTTTTTTCTACTATTTGAATTAAGATTTTTAGATCTTTGAAATGAAATAATTTCTCAGACAAGATTCTGTTCAATCTTTATAGATCTATAATCAGTTTTTATTTTCTCTTTCTTAGCTTTGGTCTTGAAAATATCAGACTTATTTCTAGCAAACAGTTCAGTCTTTGAAGCCCTTCTCCTATTTTAACTATTGTCTTTTTTTCAACAGTCTTTCTAATTCTGTTACCAACCAAGTTTCTTGTTCCTATATAAAATAGTATTGCTATGAGATGTCTAATAGTAATAAATGAAGCAACTTTTTGAAAAATAATAAGACCCCATGTTCAAGCTAATTTAATATTAAAAATATGCCTTTATCTTTTCTTTTTAATATATCACTAATGCTAGTCTTGCTAAACTTTCTACTACTAATTGCTTGGAAGCTTAAAAATAGTTAGCTATAGTCTCTATTATGTGTAATGTATCTTGTTTCTTAGAATTTACTCAGCTTTCTCTCAAAAGACCATTTGTTTATTCTTAACATGTAGTTATTTGCATAGTGCCTTAGTTTCCACAGTTATAACACATAAATGCACTATTTTTTTCTCTTTCTGTACTAAAAGGTCTACTTCTTTTCCACTTTGCAACACTAAGTTCTTGTTTCTAGTAAGTTTGTTTTTAAACTCTGACCTATTATAGAACCCATACTTCCAAAAAACTGCTTTTCATTCAAGTATTTTCTTTTTTTCTGCTTCAGATTTGCTACTTGTCTTGCCTATTTAATTGTCTTACCATATGCTGACAGCTCTTTATTCTTTGACTATAGCAGTTTTACTGCAACTTTTTAGCCTATTCTTATATTACATTTAGCATTATTATTCTGTCAAACATTCTTGTTTTTTCACTTTCAATATAATAGATAGCTTTCTTACCTGTTATAGCACTAAGTGCTAAATCTAAGTTATTTCCAATAGCATAAAGTGCATTGTATTTGAACTAATTTCTGGACCTTTTAAACTTTACATCTGACCAGTTCTTATAGATCTCTGATCTCAAATTTGATATCTTAACCCTCTCTAAGATGCTATTTATATTCTTTTACAAGTGCTTAATCTCTCACAGTAGTGTTTTATATTTACTGTATCTCTAGACTCCTTTTTTATTCTTTTTATTTTTTTTATATACTTCAATATTATTTGTGAATTTTGGTGATATATTGAATGTTGGACTTTTATAACAGAATATATCTTTGTGATTCACAATTTCTTTATTCTAAACATTTTCAAATAATTCATCTTTGATATTTTCTTTTAAACTGTTTGTTTTTTTCTAAAACAAACTACTAGAAAACATAAAGCATTCTATCAGATCTGCTTTGTTACCCTCTGTACTCAAATTTAGTCATATATAGAGGTTTTTCAAAACTTCAACAGACATGTAAGAGTGGCACACATCAATTTATCATGTTTCTATTTCATTTGTCTGTTTTATTTATTCTAAGGTATATTTGTGTAATTTATTAAGGACCATGTTTATAAAGAATAAAGTAGATTTTTCTAAATTTATATATTTTAATAAAGGTGTAAAGAACATTTTAATTTTCTAAAAAAATAGAGTTTTGAGCAACTACTAAAAGCAGCAAAAGAAAAGCATAACTTCTTTTCTTTGGATTTTATAGCTTATTTATACTTATCATTAAACTCAAAAGATCAATGACCTTATAATTCATACAAACTTATTTGATTTATAACTTCATATTAGAATCATTAAGTTCAATATATCAGATAATTCTTATAATAATATCTTTTCTGTGTTTATGTTACAGTTGGTTTTAGTTTTCTTCATTTTTGATCAAAATAATTACAGTTAACCTTCTATAAATGCACTTTCCATAAATGCACACCTTCTACAAATGCATATTATATCTTATTCCTAAGTTTGGAAATTGAAAATAAATGCACATCTTTCATATTTTACATTGCATAATTTTTTTTGTTTATATTATATATAACATATCTTTTATAAATACATATAATTAGTATAAAAAAAAACTCTTTCCTGAAAATCCCAATTTTATAGCAAAATTGTGAAAAAACAAAATTTTTTGAAAAAAGCTGAACTAAAACATATCTTAACTAATTAACTAAGTATTAGCATTAACAAACAGCATAGCACAACTTTAACAGAATTAAACGAAGTTACAAAAAGCTTTTTGCACTTCAGTCTCCTTCTTACTGTTGTTGCCGACTAAGTTGACAACTGGAACCAACACTAGTAAAGATAACAATAAGTCTCAAGACAAATACTTTAAACAGTATACACAAATATGATTCATTCAAGAAACTATAGATAACCAGAACAACAAGAAGAAGCATAAAACTAATAGCAAAATTGCTATTCCCATACAAGCAAGTAATAAGAAAAATACTAATGAAAAAAAAATTATTAAAAAAATGGAAATTCTAGCATACTCCCAAAAAATTTGGCAATGATATCATTACATACAACAACAACAACCACAATCTCAAATCTTCTTATGAACAACCAAACTAAGCAAGACCTGATCCAGAACCTAGACAATATAGATGCTGCTTCTCTTTTACCAATGCAGATAGAAAAAACAAACAACCCAGCCTTATCTAATGTAATGCTCCAGCCTAATTTGAATGCCAGCATCCTAGAACAACAACCCAATATGAAAGTAGAGCATATATCAACAAATATAGAGAATGATAATAACAATAAAGAAACCTGATCAACTGATACAATACTTGAAGAACAGCCACAAAATAAAATATCATACAGCCAAGCACTAGTTAATAACCTTCTAGAGAGAACTAGAAGAACTCCAAACCCTCATTTTAAAGCAGACAAAGAAAAAGAATAGAAAAAACATGCACAGACAGCTTTAGAAAAAATCAAACAAGAAAAACTAGAATCATTTGATGCAACAATTTGAACATGACAAAAACCAAGAATGCACTAACCTCACTTCAAAACTTAAAAGAACTGATCAGATACAAGTTGTCAACAAAACCAACCACTATTCATATTTCAACAGCAATAAAAGCAAAATTCTTTTATAGAAACACAGCCTTCTTTAGAAGCTTCACTCGAATTTTAGTAATCAAACCATAACATCAGAATGAATTTAACAACTTATTTATAGATGCCCTAAATGCATATAAAAAACAGCATAATGTATTAGCTACTAACAAAAAAAACTAGAACCAAATTTTTGAATTATTGTATACTAAGTTGGCACTAGATTACCTAACCAACCTGAACTTCAATCTTTTAGATGCATGGGAAATTACAAAATATATTTTCTATTTAATTGGTTTTGTAAAAATTCAACAGAATTTAGACTTTAAAACAACAAGAAAAGTGATCTCAGAACTAATGAATGAATTACTAATTCCTTTGCCTAATACACCAGAACTCATCCCAAACCATCTGTCTCAAGCTATTTCCTTTAACCTATCTATTACAAGCCACCAGGTTCTTATATTAGCAGTTAGAACACTGCATCTAATATTTTCTTTCAATAAGTTACCAGACACATATATTACAGACAATCGTAAAAATCTACCAGCTTCATATAAAGATTTAAGAAATGAAGTACAACATCTTTTTCCTATTATGGACAGAGCTGAACTGAAAAAACTAGCTTACTATAGAGAAACATTACAAAAATACTATATTTTTCAGCAAATCCCAGCTGAATACTTTGATTTACTAGCACCAAAAGGCCTTTTGCTCTCTACTCCACAAGACTTAACACTCAGATTAAGAGAGAAATTCCCCTTCTTACCTGAAAGTCAAGATGATTTTAAGAAACATATTAGATTACTATGCATGGACTATTTCTTTACTAGACTGCCTAATGACTATATTATTTCTCAAAGATGACTACCCATAGATCCAACAAACTTAAAAATATCCAACTTTATATTTCTATTACAGAGTACAGAAGAAGTAAATGCCTTTATCAAATGTGTTTCATGAATCTACAATATTTCATTACTATTACCACAAGCATATTGCAACTTCAACTATACAAATTTTTCAGATCTGCCTAAAGATGTCAATTTAGTCACTTTGGTTAACTTAACTTTACTAATATTAACCCTCAAAGAGCTAAGTATAGCAGTCAAAGCATTATGAGAGCACTATTATTTTCATGTTATACTCCAGTCTTGAATTCAGATAAAAAGAAAAGGAAAACAGTTAGAGGTTGGATCAACCTTACCTAAATTACTATCAACAGTAGAACAACTTCAGTTGGCTCTTAAACAAAACAAATTACAAATATACTGTACATATTTCAGTATGAAAACATTACAATATTCAATTAGTTATGGAAACTCTTAGACAAAACTTTGTCTATTATTCTTTACCAGAATATATTTTTGACCTTATAGACTTACCTAAACCATTCTTTAAAATCTTTGATCTACCAAATCAAACAACAACCACATATACACAAATGTTAGAAAGGGAAAAAAATAACAATATAGATCTTTAATGAGTATAAGCTATTATATAAACAATCTGCTCTTAGCAGATAATAAGAATGAAACAAAAAAAGTTAAACTAAATTTAAATGAAAAAATTAACATAACTATGCATAACATTAGAGGCATAAACAATATACTAAAAATGCAAAACTGGATCAAACATTGTGTAGAATCAAATCTACATATAATCTCTATAACTGAAACTAAATTAAAAGACTCAGCAGCAAAATCATATACCAATCCTTTTTACAAGATATTTACGTCTAACTTTTTACCATATGACTCGAATCAAAGAGAAGCTAGCTTGGAACAGCTTTATTAGTCTGCAACCAACTACAGCCTTATATTTATAACATCAATA